GCCACTTGGTGCCGGCGCGCGTGCAAGCGGCTGCCCCACCCCTGGCCGCTTGGCGCCTGCATATACAAAGTAACGCACCATCTTTGTCAGGTTAATTTGCATACTCACTCCTGATTGGCTGTGGGTGTCATGAAGGTATGGTCAATTTGCATATTTCTCTTTTATTAGTGTAGATTGCCAGAATATTATTTTGAATATTTCCCAAATTAAATTTGAATGCATTTATTTGCAGAATATGTTGGAAGTTTTTACACCTGCAAATTTTCTTAATTGTAACCCTAAATAGACTGGCTGTCAAATCTAGTGAGGCTAGTTTGCAGTTTAGCAGGATGTTTTATTTTGAAAGGGACCAGATTTTTAAAATAATTCTCTTGTTGTTTAAGACAGCACATTCTTTTTTTTTTCCTTTTAACAGATTCTTAAGGGCACTGAAAAATTATAAATCCAAAGTAAATCCCATTTCATTAATGAACTTAAAGTAAGTTAGACTTATGCTGAGACTTTAGAAAACCAAATTTTAAGACATTCCCCACTATGTGTTCACTATGAGATGACCATCTCCCACAGAAAAGAATATTAAGGAGTTGTTTGAGTAATATTCATATCTCTAAGTTATGATTCTCCTTTCTGAATTTATATTGTGAGATGGTTTGAGAGTCATAATGTGTTGATTAAAATTAAAATGCTTTACATAAGATTCTTTGTTCTTAGGCAGTTTCTATTTATTTACATTTGAGTAGTGTAGCCTGTATTCATGGTGCAGGTAGATGTTCATTTAATTGAAGCTGCATATCTAGATGTCTCTCCTAGCTTTTAGCCAATCCTGAATATGATAAACATTAAAATATTTTCCCTACAGCGTTTCAAGGGTACTGAAAGTATAAATAAAGTGTCTGAGCAGGTGAAAAATGTGAAGCTTAATGAAGATAAACCCAAAGAAACCAAGTCTGAAGAGACTCTGGATGAGGTTTGTATATAATATTTTCTTATTTAGTTCTTATGTGAATTTGAGAAAAGTATTTATTTTGCAGCCCTGACTTCTCATAATGAGGGGTAGTTGAATATGGCCACTTAACAGTAAGCCAAACACTAATTTGTAGTGTATTTCCCTTAGGTGTACTGAATCAGAAAAAGGCCTAAGCTGTGGGGGCCTGGTGGGGAAGCCTAAGAACCAGTGCTTTACAGTCAGAAAGCCTTTCCTTTGATATACCTCTAGCTTTGTGCTTTTTGTTGTTGTTTTTTTAAATCCTCACCTTGGGATATTTTCTTTGATTTTTAGAGAGAGAAAGAGGGAGGGGGAGAGAGAGACATCAATGTGAAAAAGAAACCTCGATTGGTTGGGGCTGGAGATGGGCCCTAAAGATAGGTATGTGCCCTGACCAGGAATCAAACCCGGGACCTTTCTGTGTACAGGATCATGTTCCTACCAAATGAGCCACACTGGCCAGGCCTAGCTTTTCTTTTTATATTGCCTCTGTGTCTGTCCAGAACTTCTGAGCTTTCAAAGCTATTTTAAGATCCTCATTCTATAGCCAAGTTGGACTGAGTGAAAGAAACTCCATTTGGTTATTTTTAGCTTTTTCAAATGTACATAGTGTCCTTGGCAATAGAAATAGTCCAGTCCTGCCTGCAGGGTATAAATTCATCTTCTAATCTCTACCAACCCAGGTTTTATATATTGGTACAAAGATGTGAAGACCCAGATAAAATCATTTCTGCAAATGGACAGCCTTCATGGAGCTAAGGACAGCTTTTAGAACAGCCTCAGTAGAGCCAAACTAATTATGATCTTGCCACTCATGCCTGGCAGTCTTAATATCAGTGATAATAACCTAATAATAATATTATTAGTTATTGTAAAGAGGTGTAGCCTATTGATAAGGTGAAGCATTTGGGTATTAGTGGAAAGAGTATAAATAAGATCAGGTATAGAAGTGTAAATGTTTTATGACTAAAGCTAGTTAATTTGCATAACCTTTTCCTGTTGGTTGAAAAGCAAATATTAATGTTTGTGGAAAGGTACACACAAGCAATTTTGAGGTTTATCACAAGTGTATAATTTAATACATGTTATACTAGTCAAATATTGAGCAGCTAATAAGGTAAATAGAGGTATAATAATTACTAAAAGGGTTGCAAAGCAATTGGCAACATAGTTTACCTTACAGAAAATTAGAATAAGGGAAGTGTATCATTAAAAGGTTAAACGAGACTTACAAATAAAAGTAAAAGGCAGTAAGGGCTGGAGACAATCCAGAGAGATCCTGTGAGGGTCCTAAACTATTTCATTTTATTTATTTAAGACCTATTTATTTATTTATTTACTTATTTTTGGATCCGTGAGTTAATGTCATGTCAGAACAACTAAAAATAAAGTGTAAGTGACCGCTATTCTTGACCATAATCTTGTGTCATATAAACTGAGTTACTCCCACCGGGTTTCATCTTGCATTTGCAAATAGTAGCCTTCAGGGTTTTGTGATCATGTTCCTCTTAATGACATTTTTAAAATATATTTTTATTGATTTCAGAGAGGAAGAGAGAGAGAGAGTAAGAGAGAGAGAGAGAGAAACATCAATGATGAGAATCATTGATCAGCTGCCTCTTGTATGCCCCCTCCTGGGGATCGAGCCTGCAACCCGAGCATGTCCCCTGGACTGGAATTGAACCCAGGACCCTTCAGTCCACAGGCCAACTCTCTATCCACTGAGCCAAACCAGCCAGGGCAGGACTTCTTTTCATTTCATTTAGCTGGCCAGCCTGAACCCAATTATGTGCTCTCATTGTCTTCCTAGCACCTGGATTCCATAGCCTCTGGGCCAGTACTTTGCTGATTTCCTGCTGTCTGCTTTCTCTGTTCATGCCTAGTGACTACTGAACGGGACAGTGTAATTCTAGACTGATAGACTTACTAAAGATTCTTGAGCATGGTATGGTTTGCAGAATATTACTTTAGAAAACTTACTAGAATAACCATTTGGGCCCTGGCTGGGTTTTCTCAGTGATTAGATCACTGGCCTGGGGAAGGCTTAGTATGATTTTCTTTTTAAAGGATGTAAAAACCTCAGTATTTTTTATATTAACTACATGTTGAAATATGTTGAATGTATTGGTTTAATGTGGAACTAAACAGCTGAAAATTACATTTGTGGCTCTCATTATATTTCTACTGGGCAGCATGCATGACATTCAGAGTCTTCCAGTGTCTGGCCCCTGCCCAGCTTCAGATTTACTATTTCTATAGAAATACTCTTCAGCCACAAATGGCTGCTCATTGTCTACAAAACTGCCCTTTCCCACTTCCATCCTTTATTACTTACTTAGTGCCTCTTTTAACTTCCCTACTTGTCAGTTCTGTATCCACTGTATCTTAGCATCCTGTGCTTTCTCTACAGGTCTTACAACATATGTAATTATAGACATGTCTATACTCTGCTAGAGGGAGGGCAAGTACCATGTCTGCCAATTCACCTATGTATCTCTAGTTTCTAACACATAGAACGTGCTCAAATATTTAAATTAATAATAGGAACAGTTAGGTAATATATTCTCGTTTTTAGAGGCTATGATGTGATCCAGTAGATTGTAATTGAATGATTACTCTCAAAGTCCCTTTATCTCTGGGTCTAAAAGTACCTAGGCCAGACCCAATCTTGGGAATATAGTTCTTTTCATCACTTTGGACTAAGAAATTGCTGCAAAGCCAGGAAATTACCTAAGAGCCAGGTTCATTCAAGCATATTACTTTCCAGAACAGCCTAAGAACTGATGTGACTTCTCACCATGAACCAACCAGATTCTTGCAATGAAACCCAAAATCAGATTAAAAATCAGATTAAATAACTAGAGCAGCATTTCTCAAAGTGTGTTATGTAAGTCCCAGAAGTTCGAGATTGTTTTCCTGGCATTATTAAAACCTTTACGTGTGTCTCCTACTTTAAGATTCACAGTATATATTATTAGCTAATGACAGCTTTGAGAAGTCTTGCAGAATGGAGGTATATTTAACTTTGAATCATGTTTTCCAAACTTAATTATATTAGACTCCTTTTCTTCTAACAGTGTTAGCAATGCCAAGGAACGAGTGATCCATAAAAGACACTTGTGAAACACTGAAATGGAGGCTATTAGTGGGCAGATGGCACCTTCACTGTTAAGACTGAACCATAACCACCAAATGTGTGTTTGAATTATTATTCTAGGATCTCTAATGTAGATAACACAACATGCCCATGTAACAACAAATAGGAAAACAATAGAATGACATTAAGATTTAATTAAATGTAGTTTTTGTTCACTAATGAGACCTTGTCTTTCAAATATTATGTAATTTACATATTCTCACATAATAAACTAGAGGCCTGGTGCACGAATTCATGCTCCAGATCCCTCGGTCTGGCCTGCGGGATCGGGCCAAAACCGGCTCTCTGACATCCCCCGAGGGGGCCCCGATTGAGAGAGGGCACAGACCAGGCCAAGGGACCCCACCGGTGCACAATCGGGACCGGGGAGGGACTCCAGAGGTTGGCCAGCTAGGGTGAGACTGCGGGAGGGCTCCTGGACATGTCCAGCCTGTCTCAGTCTCAATTGGCCGGACCCCAGCAGCAAGCTAACTTACCGGTTGGAGCATCTGCCCCCTGGTGGTCAGTGCATGTCATAGCAACTGGTTGACCAGTTGACTGCTCCCTGGTGCATGTCATAGTGAGCGGTTGAGCAGCCTTAGCATATCATTAGTATATTATGCTTTGGTTGGTTGAACGGACTACTAGACACTTAGCATATTAGGCTTTTATTATATAGGATATATGCAGTCATTCCATTTTGTAGCTTTAAATTTTTTTTTATTGCCCTAGCTGGTTTTGCTCAGTGGATAGAGTGTCGGCCCAAGGACTGAAGGGTCCTGGGTTCGATTCCAGTCAAGGGCACAAACCTCGGTTGTAGGGTTGGTCCTCGGCCCTGGTTGGGGCACATGCAGGTGGCAACCAATTGATGTGTTTCTCTCACATTAGTGTTTTTCCTTCTCTCTGTCTTTTACTGTCTCTTACACTCTTTCTGAAAATCAATGGAAAAATATTCTTGGGTGAGGATTAACAAAAAAAAAATTCTTTTTTAAATTAAAATCCTTTTTCCCCAGCACAGCTGATGTCGCTTGGTGGTTGAGCATCTTCCTATGAACCAGATCATGGTTCAATTCCCAGTCAGGGCACATGCCTGTGTTTTGGGTTTGATCCCCAATAGGGGGCATGCAGGAGACGGCCAATCAATGAGTCTCTCATCATTGATGTTTCTATCTCTCCCTCTCCCTTCCTCTCTGACATCAATAAAAATACATTTTTAAAAATTATTTCCAAATTTGGGATATGTCTATATATATAAAAGTTCAGCGACTGGAACGACTGGTGGCTATGACGCGTGCTGCAGCAGCCAACCAGCCTGATCGGCCTCCCATCCCCTGGCTGTCCCGGCTCCTCGATTGGCCCCCAACACCCTGGTCAGAGGCAGGGCCAGCCGCCACCTGTTCGTTGCCGCCAGCCCAGCCCCCAATCGGCCCCCAACACCTTGATCGAGTGTGGGGCCAGCCAGCCAACTGCTGTGACCCCAATCTGCCAATTGGGACCAGCCAGACCCCACCTGTGCACAAATTTGTGCACCAGGCCTCTCGTATTACTAGATTTTTGTCAAGTAACCATTTTAAGCCATTTGTTTTTCTGATATACAAATAGCATGCTATTGCCCTGGCAGGTGTGGCTCACTGGTTAGAGTGTTGGCCCAAAGGGTCTCGGGTTCGGTTCCCAGCCAAAGGCACATACCTGGGTTGTGCGATCGCTCCCCACCCCCAAGCAGGAGGCAAGCAGTTGTGGCTCTCTCACATGGATGTTTTTCTCTCTCTCTCTTTCCCTTCCTCTCCCTCGCTTCCACTCTCTCTGAAAAAGCAATGGAAAAAATATCCTCAGGTGAGGATTAACAACAACAAAAATAGCATACTATTTTTATTTTATTTATTTTTAATACTCTCTCTCTCTCTATATATATATATATATGCACACACACACTTTTTTTTTTTTTCCCAGAGAGGAAGGGAGAGGGAGAGAGAGATAGAAACATCAGTGATGAGAGAGAATCATTGATCGGCTGCTTCCTGCATGTCCCATACTGGGGATCAAGCCTGTAACCCGGGCACCTATCCTGGATCAGAATCAAACCGGGGACCCTTCAATCCAAAGGCCAGTGCTCTATCCACTGAGCCAAACCAGCTAGGGCACATGCTATTTTTAAATACAAAATAACAGAAAAGGATAGAGAATACAGAATATAATTCAACACCTTGAAATAAACATATTTAACATTCCAGAATGTTTTCTCTTAACATTTTTATGCATATATTTATTTAAATAGTTGAGACATGACTGTAGTTAGAACTATTTGTTTTTCCCTTAATGTTGTAAGAATTTTTCCACTATTTTTTTCTTTTTATGTTTTCTTCTTTTTCTTAGGATTTTTCCACTATTAAAAACATCATAAAATTTTATTATCATAAAATGTGTGGTTATTTTTCTATTATGGATAACAGTGTATCTGCATAGGGTAACTGCATAAAGATTTTTTTCCTAAGAATCAAATTACTTCTTGAGCATATATTTCTATAAATGGAATTACTTGTTACACTGTAAACATCTTTAAATTGTATTCCAAAGAGATGATTCCAGTTCACACTGCTACCAGTAGACACCTGACCATTTATAGTGCCATAAAGTAAGCTTATAGTGGGAGTGTCAGGGGGGAAGGTAATGTTTACTTTTATAATGCACATTTTACTCAAGCTATAGATGTGACTTCCTTTTGATTTAGGATGGCCGCTTAGCGTTAGTTCAAAGTGCTAATCCTTAAAAGTGGATAGGGATTGTTACCCTATCCAGGCCTTACTTTTATCTATAAAAGATGGGGTAAAAACTGTCAGATTGCTGTGAAATTAATGAATTGACATAAGAAAATGACTTCTATAACACCTGATTTCCATATGTGCTTGTAGTAGTAAAATAGTTAAGAGCATGGGCTTTATATTCAAGCTGCCTGGTTTCCAATTCTGCTCAGCCACCTAGGAGCTGTAGGGCCTTAAGCAAATTACTTAACCACCCTGTCCTTTGTTTCCTTATCAGCAAAACAGGGATAACAGTTACTACCTCACAAGGAAGTGAAAATTAAGTCAATTTATTGTAACAACTATGCATAGTGCCAGGTGGATACTTGAAATATTGGGGGATCACTTTGTAAACTATTTGATTATCTATATATTTTGCTATACACCTGAAATTGATACAAAATAATATTGAATGCAAACTATAATGGAAAAATAAAAAAATTTTTAAAGGAAAAAAACATAAAAATGTAAATATAGAGTAGGAAAAAAAGGCAATTTTTAAAATATATTTTTTTATTGATTTCAGAGAGGAAGGGAGGAGAGAGAGATAAAAACATCAATGATGAGAGAGAATCATCGATTGGCTGCCTCCTGCACGTCCCCACCAGAGATTGAGCCTGCAACACAAGCATGTGCCCTGACCAAGAATGGAACTTGACCTCCTGGTTCATATGTCAACTCTCACCGCTGAGCCACACCAGCTGGGTGAAAGAAAGGCAATTTATGTAAGGCATTTGGAATAGTGCCTGGCACATAGGGCATTCAATAGATATTAACTATTAACATCAATAAAGGTTATTATCACTATTACTTGGGTATAGTGGAAAAAATAGGGGCTTTGGATTCAAACTCAAGTTCATATTCATTTTCTACTACTCACTAGCTCTGTTGCATAAATTCCCGGGACCTCAGTCTCATCTGCAAAAATGCAAGTAGGTAATACCTTCCTTCAGAGGATTGTTAGGATTAAGTGGGATGTTATGTGTTAAGTGACTGGTAAACAATAGGTGTTTAATATCTCTTACTTCCTTTCCCATTACTAAATGTTTTATACTATACAATTTCTATATATTAAATATGTCTAAGAAATTGCTTTCCTCACAATATATGAATCACCATTGATAAGATTAGCCTTTGGCTAAAAAAATTAAAGAGACCCTGATAATCTTGCTTTGTTCTATGAAATATGCCTGTTATGATAATGTCTGTAGATAATTTCATTCATTGTGTGAACTTCTTTTCAAGTTCAGAAACAAATCCAACATAACTATTCATTCTAATTTTACATATATTAAAAATGTTTAGTAATGCTAAAACCACTGAAATCTTTAAGAAAATGTAACAATACTTTATTTAATGCCTTATGATTTTAATGGAATAGTAATATTTCTAACCTTGGGGAATAACTGGATTCATTTTATGGTTTGTTGAATAATTCACAGAATTGTAAAAAAAAACAAACACACACTGGTTTCCAAGAAGCTGAAAATTATTGGAAATTAAATTATAAACATCCTAGTTACTAATATTCTCATCACAGACTTGAAATGAGATAGTGACTTCAACTCATAGAGGTGGACCAAAGGCAAAATAGTTTACCAAATTTATGAAACTCTGTGACCAGACTTAGGTCACAGTTGCCTATTGATTGATTTTAGAGGGAGAGAGAAACATGTATTTGTTGTTCCACTTATTTATGCATTGATTGGGTGATTTTTTAAATTGATTTTGAGGGAGAGAGAAAGGGAGAGGGAGAGAAACACCGATGTGAGAGTGAAACAAGGATTGGCTGCCTCCTGCATACCACTGGAGATCAAGCCTCTAACCCAGGTAGGTGCCCTGACCTGGAATCAAACTGGTAACCTTTCAGTGCATGGGACAACACCCAACCAACTGAACCACACCAGCCAGGGCTTGTTTGTTGATTCTCATATGTGCCCTGACCAGGGATCGAACCCATAACCTTAATGTATTAGGATGATGCTCTAACCATCAGAGCTACCCAACCAGGGACAATTGGCTATAAGTATTCTGTCATCCTTCTAAAAGAAGGACATAAGTTAATAAGTATGTATGTATTGTCTGTCTTTGTTTTTAGGGTCCACCAAAATATACAAAATCTGTTCTTAAAAAGGGGGATAAAACCAACTTCCCCAAAAAGGGAGATGTTGTTCACTGCTGGTATACAGGAACACTACAGGATGGAACTGTTTTTGATACCAATATTCAAACGAGTAAGTCTAAATGTAATCTTATCTTTTTGGCTTTAAGGCATTATAAAATATTTGTAGATGAGCTGTTAGCAGTATCTTTTTGTTGGCTGTCACTTTTTTCCAGAAGTCTTTTGCACCTGTGATGTACTTGGAAGAGGTCTCTTCAGTTCACTGCTTATTGGCTGGGTAAATAAAGACCTCTTGGTCATTGAAAAGCAAAAACAAAGAAGCAGCTTAGACTAAACTTGGCTAATGTCCCAAAGTTAGACTTTAGTATCTATACTAATAAAAGGGTAATATGCTAATTAGATTGGACATCTTCTGGACGTCCTTCTAGACCAGGGGTGGGCAAACTTTTTGACTCGAGGGCCACAATGGGTTCTTAAACTGGACCGGAGGGCCGGAACAAAAGCATGGATGGAGTGTTTGTGTGAACTAATATAAATTCAAAGTAAACATCATTACATAAAAGGGTACGGTCTTTTTTTTTTTTTTAGTTTTATTCATTTCAAACGGGCCGGATCTGGCCCGCGGGCCGTAGTTTGCCCACGACTGTTCTAGACAAAGCCATGGTTGCAGGGGCAGAGGCAGAGGCAGTTAGGGACGATCAGGCCAGCGGGGGAGGAACAGTTAGGGAGCAATCAGGCCGGCAGGGGGGAGCAGTTAGTGGGACGATCAGGCCGGCAGACAGGGGAGTGGTTAGGAGCCAGTGGCCCCAGATTGCAAGAGGGATGTCCGACTGCAGGTTTAGGCCCAATCTCTGTGGGATCGGGCCTAAACCAGCAGTCGGACATCTCCCGAGGAAATATCAAGACCCAATAAAATAGTCAAAGAGCATAAGCAGACAGATCAAAGAAGAATCTACACTAATAAAAGAGAAACATGCAAATTGGTGTCACTCCGCCACGCCCACCAGCCAATCAGAGTGGCTATGCAAATTAACCCAACAAAGGTGTTGGTTAATTTGCATATGCAGGCCTGGAGCAAAGACTGAAGGCTCCAGCCAGAGTGAAGACTGAAGAAGCCAAGCCTCACTGCGGCCGGACCAAAGGCCTGGGTCCTGTGTGCCAGGGGAAAACTGGTGCCGGCAGTCGGGGGAAGGCAGGCCTATTGCACGAAATTCGTGCAACGGGCTTCTAGTATATATATAAAAGCCTAATATGTAAAGTGTCCCCTCGGGAGTTTGACTGACCGGGAGTTCGATCACTCGGTATGATGTGCGCTGACCACCAGGGGGCGGCGCGGAACGAAGGGAGGCCCTGGCTGGCAGCTGGAAGGCCTCAATCGGCCCTGATCACCGGCCAGGCCTAGGGACCCTACCCATGCACAAATTTCATACACCGGGCCTCTAGTGTTAATGTAAAAAGCAGGATACCTTGCATTAGTGGTGTAAATATAGGTCCTTTCCCCTCTCCACTGTTTCAACCATAATCGTTTGGTATTTTTGTAATTATATATTTTTTATTGATTTCACAGAGAAAGGGAGAGGGAGAGATAGAAGCATCAATGATGAGAGAATCATTGATTGGCTATGTCCTGCACGATCCCTTCCTAGGTATCAAATCCACAACCCAGGCATGTGTATTCCTGGTTCATAGGTTGACACCCAACCACTGAGCAACACCAGTCAGGCCATAATTTTTATATCAAAAATTTTCTTTTAAAGTATTTTTTAAAATATATTTTTATTGATTTCAGAGAGGAAAATAGGAGAGATAGAAACATCAATGATGAGAGAGAGTCATTGATTGACTGCCTCCTGCACACCCCACACTCGGGATCGAGCCTGCAACCCGGGCATATGCCCTTGGCCAGAATCGAACTCGGGACCCTTCAGTCTGAAGGCCAAACTCTACCCAGTTCAGCTAGGGCAAGAATTTTCTTGGTAAATTACCTGGCTTTCTGCATTTTTTTCAAACGCACAGTATTATAAGTTCTGAAATCAAGTTACAGACTTAACCCTTTTCGGTCCAACGTGGAGGCTGACTTAACAGACCAGACGCTAGAAGCAGGTCCAACATCGAGGCTGAGACACCACAAACCGGTTCAACATTCAATCCCATCAATTAATTTGGACCAGATTGTTTGAATTCCAAAAATAAAATTGGACCGCAAAGGGTTAAATCCCTGTTTTCCCATTGGAACTTAATTTCATCATTAATTATAAGGAAAATTTGTTTTACAGGTTCAAAGAAGAAGAAAAATGCCAAGCCTTTAAGTTTTAAGGTTGGAATAGGCAAAGTTATCAGAGGAGTAAGTAAAAAATGGCAGTGTGTCAAGAGATTCTGGCACATGCTACTTGTGGCATGGTACTATAAAGAATTAGGATTGGGGATATCATGAAAACAAGATTTGGAGTATGACAAATTTGTGCTGTCATCACTAACTGTTCTGGCACAAATTAGTAAGGTCTCTAGGTCTCAATTTTCTCATCTATAAAATAAGGACTGTACAGCCTATTAGGTCACTGAAAGATTAAATGAACATAATTTAAATCATGACTCCAATATTCCAGCCTACCCCTTTTATCTTTTCCTTCAAAAATTAATTTTTAGTGTGTTTAGCTTTTTAAATTTCTTTTAGATTCTTGTAAGATGTTGCATGGCTGTTGTACCACTTATAACATGATCAATAAAGGTAAAATATCTGTTCCACTGAAGTACTAATAAAAGCAAGAGTTTGTTCTATAGCCCTCACCTCTCACAACTTAGGCTCAAACACCAGAAAATCTTTCAAACATAAGTATACCTTTACCCAACTTTCCCTGTGAGATAACAAGAAAACTGAGAAAAGGGGAAGTTAGCTGTACCTGACCACTGCAGTGTACAAGAGATATAAGAGTAGTACTGATTATCAGCTTCATTGAATCGGGTTGTCATGCTAGGGCCCACTTATTTTAATTTGTCTTTACTCAGGACACCAAACATTAATAACCGAAACACATTTAAATGAAGTTATCAGAACCTTCAGTGTATCTTTTTTAAGTCTTAAAATATGATTCAATCATATCCAGAGCCCAAAATATAAAATAATTTGGAACTATAGGCTTAGTTGGAAATAACCTTAATGCTACCTGATTATACTAAGTTGAGAGCAATTGTCAGGTTGAGCTATTTTTCTATTTTTATATCTAATTTGCTTACTGGTAAATTTCTTCGTTTATTTTCTTAATTTTCAGTATTTGGCAAATTTGTCTCTGTCCCTTGAACTTTATGAACAGTTACATTTCAACAGAGTATATATTAAGTCATATATTCTATATCCTTTCATTGTATTTATTTAATTATTTTTGGTAACTGGCTTTAAGATCCAAATTTGGACAAAATGTAGCAACCCAGAAATCTCTCACTTCTTTGAGTAATTTCACCTTCTACAAAATATATTAATGCTCTAGCATGTACTTTGTTTTTAACCATCATGACTCCACTATTAACAATTTGGTAATCTTAAGATAGTTTTAGAGATAGTACTTGTTAGTTTATCCTTATAAAAATAGTTTCAGAAATTTGTCCAAGGATATAATAGTGTAGCAAAGAAATTATAGTGCTAATAAACTAGTTTCCATGTTTCCACATTACAGTTTACAAAAGTGCTTTTACATTATATCATTTAAGGCATTTGAGTATTATATTAAAAAAAATGGTTTAATATATCCTTTTTTTCATTGAGGAAATAAAGGACAATGATTTGAGGACTCTCCCAAGGACATTACCATTTATGACATAATGAAATCCAGTAATAAAATGTTTTTCTGTATATAACCTTACCTGTCTTCTGATTTCACGTGTATTTTTGAGAATCATTAGTTTGATTCTATATTCTTGCCTTTAGTGGGATGAAGCGCTCTTGACTATGAGTAAAGGAGAAAAGGCTCGACTAGAAATTGAACCAGAATGGGCTTATGGAAAGAAAGGACAGCCTGATGCCAAGTATCCTTTTTTCCTTTGTAATTAAAGGAAAAACACTAAAAAGGATCACCTGAAGGTATGAAAGATGCTATCTAGGTTAACCTCCAGATCAGGAATCCTGTTCAGACCGGAATTCCTGATTTAGATGCTTTTGTGTCAACACCTCCAATATAGACAATACTGGAGGCCCAGTGCACAAATTCGTGCACAGGTGGGGTCCCTCTGGGTGGCCTGCAGGGATAGGGCTGAAACCCACAGTCCAGCGCTGCCTGCAGCTCCTACCTGACTCTCCAGCTCATCCTGGCTCCACTGTGCCTGGTGCAGGCTCGCGTCTAATCAGTCCCTATCGGGAAAGGCTCATGTTGCAGTAGCCGCGCTCACCAGCCATGAGCCCTGCATCTGGTGCCCTCCCAAGGGAAATGGCCTGCGGGATTGGGCTGAAACCAGCTCTCCGACATCCACTAAGGGGTCCCAGATTGCAAGAGGGCACAGGCCAGGCTGAGGGACCCCACCGGTGCACGATCGGGCTGGGGAGGGACCGAAGGAGGGCTCCAGGGCATGTCCAGCCCATCTCGCTCAGTCCCGATCGGCTGGACCCAGCAGCAAGCTAACCCACTGGTCGGAGCATGTGCTCCCTGGTGGTCAGTGCATGTCATAGCGAGCAGTTGAGCAGCCATAGCATATTAGCATATTATGCTTTGATTGGTTGTTCAGTTCTGTTTGTTCTATTTGCATATTACCCTTTTATTATATAGGAGGATTGTGTATTGGTACAAAGTATTCAAACTTGAGCTGGAATCTCCTTTCTTCCTCTTACTCATGCTCTTAATTTTTAAGATTTAAACTGTGAGATTTAAGTTTTCCTCTATGACAGGCAATTGTTTGAAGGGTTTACTTTAAGGAGTTAAGATGCCCAATACAAACAACTGTAGCATATTATAGAATGCAGATATGTCTCATGGTATTTTTGCTACAGTGTAATTTCATGCAATTATAAAAATGGAACACATGTTGGGGATTACCAGTTGTGAAATGAAGGAGAACATGGGTTCAACATGCTGTAAGCTTTTGTGATCAATACTAATGACAGTATACTTTTTATCTGATAAAAAGAAAAAAAGAGCCATGACTCCAGACCATTACACCAGAACTAAATGATTACTAACAGCTAAGTAGGAAGTTAGTTTTTTTGTTGTTGGTTCCATTCCCATTTAAGTTTGGAAAAAACGTTTTTGGAAGTCCTCTCTAGTCTTATCAATTAAAATTATTTGGGAATAGCCTCTTCTAAGTCTATTAAAATGAGTTGGCTAGCTGCAGCTCCCTCTCTGTGAAGCATGTTAAGATCAATCAGATAAAAGTCACACTCTTCTCTAAACTCAGCATTTTAAAACAGCAAATATCAGGTATTATCTCATATTAATTTTGATTTAATATATACCCAGCTAGATTGAAAAAAACATTTTTTTTTTGAATACTGAATAACAAGTTTTCATTAAGTGGTTGCTAAATTGGGAGTACTAGTTAGGCATCCAGATAAGGAAGATCCCAGCCAAGCTAATGCCTAGTCAGCCTATAATTTCTATTTACAAAGATATCTCTATTAGGAACCACTATGCTTGGAATGTATTAGCCTATGAGTCAGCTGCAAAGCCCTTTTCTTTGTAGTTAATTGCCAATATCCAGTCTACATAATTCTAATTTTAGACTAAGATTCTTGGGAATGAGAAGCAATTTTATCATATTTACCTTAACTTCTTGAACAGAATCCCACCAAATGCAAAACTCATTTTTGAAGTGGAGTTAGTGGATATTGATTGAAACAGCAATGCTTCTGATCTAAAGACATCAGCCATAGCCTTGAAGAAAGTTTCGTAACTAATTACAGCTAGTTACTATTGTAATGGAAGTGAACTGGAAAATTCATAGTTATGTTAGAACTTGTTTACTTTCTCCCAAAAATTAAGAAATGTAATCTGTTATAAATCCCTGCAGTTTAAAATATTTTACTACAGCTGTGTAAAGTACTGGTTAAGGAGAACTTTTCCTTTTACCTCATGTTGTAAACTAAAAGGCTCAATAAAAATGTACCCAATGTCTTGATTTGTTTGGTGTTAATGTTCTGATTAGGTTAACCAGGACTAAGGCTTCATCAAACCAGGGAGCAGCAGTCAAATTGTTTGGACAGCTTTGCCAGACATTCATTTAAAATCTTTAAATATTTCTGTATAGTGAGAAGATAAAAGCACAGAGATTGAGAGGAATGAAAAAGATAAAAGGTCTAAGAAATTCTAACAAGAAGATTAATAGCTGAATATAACAGCTTTATATAAATATAAAGTTAATGACAGGTGATCCCCTAAATAAATTCATAACAATTGGTGGATGAGTCTTCAGTTTTATTACAAAAATGTAGATGATCAGTTTGATCAAAATGAAAGCTTGTTCACAAATTTACATGAATATTGTAAATACAAAGTCTTCTGAAACAACATAAATTTTGATACAATTTTCATTTTTTAAAGGGATGCAAACATTCGATTTTCTGATTTGTAATCTCTATGCCATGACATACTATTTTAGTAGTGTGTATCTTTCCTGCAGTTAAATCAAAATTCACAGGGATAATTGAAACACGCAGACAAAGCCTGGTCAGTAAAGGTTAAAAATCCATTTTTTGGTGGTTTTTTTTTTCTCTTTTTACAGAGAGGTAAATCCTTAATAACCAGCCCTTTATGTATTTTCAGACTCTTGTACTACACTGACATGATTTGCAGTCAGTTTTTTTCCTACCCTTAAGGCTACAAAACTGTTGCAAATGCATTGCAAAAGAATTCTAGACCACTTAATGCAAAAATCAAAAAATAGTTCTCCAATAAAAAGTAAACTTTATAAATGGTAGGAAATAGTATCTGTGGTAAGCTACTAAGTGACATTTTTCCTAATACTAAAATCATATGTTACACAGAAACAGGGAAGACAAGTTGTCAAATATGACAAGCCAATGTTTACATCTCTTGTTGAAAAAAAATAACGTTATACTTTCCACACACTCCATCTGATATTTATATTTTCCCATCAAGTTGGAGGGGGAGGATAATACTGTCCATAATTCCAAGGATTCTGGTAATTGTACTGAAAGGAAAAAGCAAACATGTTAGCATACCAGAACTATGGCTGAGCTCATACAAAATAATTAAAGCAGGTATGTGTAAGAAAACAGGCATGTATTCACTTGTAGAAATTCCAAGACTAAACCACAAAGATAATGTATTATACCATCTGAAACAGAACACCTGTTTTTTTCTAAAATAAAAAAGACTGCCCTAATTTATGCTTTTCTAATAACATAAATGAACAAAAAATTCATTTATAATTATGTAAACTCACTTGATACCAGGCACTATAATTATATGCAGCTTGATTTGCTTGTAAATCACCATCAATCAACTGCGCAGAGGATGAAGTTGTATCTTCTGTGTGTGCTTTTTTTTCCTCTGGTTCTTCTGATCTATATAAAAGGTCAAAGTGGAACTTTTAACAGCTCTTACAATAAGTACTTTAACAAACAGATAAATGTCACCTGTGTACATTTATTTTACTGATGTTCTCAACCACTCAAGAGTTGTATACAATTTTTTCAAATCATGAAAATAAAGTATCTCAATTACCACAACATGAAACAATTTTAAAATATATATTTATTGATTTCAGAGAGGAAGGGAGAGGGAGAGACAGAAACATCAATGATGAGAGAGAATCAATGATCTCTTGCCTCCTACATGCCCCACACTGGGTAATGAGCCCACCAGCTGGGCATGTGCCCTGACTGGGAATTTAACCATGACCTCCTGGTTCATAGGTCGACGTTCAACCACTGAGCCACGCTGGCCTAGCAAAGGTAACATTTAAAAATATTTGTCTTCTCTGTTCTTTTCTCTCTCTAAAAAACATCCTCAGGTGAGGATAAATTATATTTTTCTTTAAAGGCATTTCCACAATGAAAATTGTCATCTTTTAAACATCCTTTCCTGATTCAACAAATATGTACATACCCATTTTCTGCTTTCCTTTTCAAAGAATCCTGTTCTTTTAGGAGTGTTTGATGCTCATCATAAGCACTCAGAAGCCTGAGAAGTAATAAAAAAAAAAATCCATTGAAATATATAAAACCCAAAATGTTAATTTTAAAAATTTATTTCTACTTAGGAAAACAAAATATATTGCAATAGACATCCTTTTATTTATATATTTTTTTAAATGAGCCAGCAGCCAAATCTGTCCTCAGCTACCTTTTTTTTATCTATTTCCTTTGGGACACCATTGCCCTGTACTTTTCTTCTCACTCTATGTGGTTCAAAGATAAAGGCCTGGCTAGTAACATTATACCCCTGGGCCAATTAATGGTTTAGAGATGAGAATACGACCCAAAGCAGGAGTCCCAGAATTTTTTATGAGCTACTGGAAAAGTGTTTTCTGTACTACAGCTGTCTAAAGCTGATGGGATGCTGGCCAAGTTTATCATTTATAATACATGGGGAGAACCTGCCTTGGAATCTACAACACAACTAAGACAAGGATCTTGATGTTTTTGTCCAGTGCAACAAGAGACCTGACAATTCTACAATTTGTATACTTTTGAATCTAATTTAACAATGCTATTGAAGACACCTGCATTTAGGATAAAATGCTTTTAAAATTTGGCCATGTGATAAAACTGAATTAGAACTAATATAAAACTATAGTGTAATTGGTTACCATTGATTAAAAATATAAGTTTTAACAAAATTCTGATGTGACATATGTAAAATTGTTAATACCAGTAATCTCAGGTCAAATGTTTACTCATTTTCAAGCACTTTAAATGGACTAATTTCCTTAAGGCCTTTAACAACCTGTGGGTTAGGTGATACAGAGAATCTCCATATGAAAAAGTTTGAAAATAAGAATACACAAATCAGTAAGTGACAGAGCTAGGATTTAAGCCTGTATTTGTCAGACTTCAACATTAATTCTTACCAATTCATTATACTGCTACCTAAATTTTTAAGTGCCTCATTTACTTTTCACATTATACCTTTCTAAAAATTTCAACAACATACTACCCAATACTAAAGGTCCTCAACTGTATTTGTAAGGACCTAATTGGCATCTTTGTATTGAGCTTCCAATTTGTCTGCATATTATTACCAAATTAACATGTCATTTAATCTCAATAAAACCACTAATAGTTTCCTACTGTCAATTGTGTACTCCATGTTCTCTGAACTCAAACTAGCTTTCAAAGCACAGAATGAACAAACATCACTTCTACTTCAGCAGATGTTATTTGTAGATGAATTTTAACTTGCTTTTACATTTTATCCTCTTCTCAGTTTATCAGTATCCAGTAGTTAATTAAATGAAGCCCTACCTCCCCTATGAAGGATGATAAATCCATTCTGATCCGGAGCCTTAAAACTTGTATGTCACCTCATACACATGTATATCCTCTGATCACCATCCCATCCAACTAGACTAAAAGCTAGAATTACATATTCCATTTCTTTTAATTTCTTCAGTGCAAAACAAACAGAAGACATTAAATATACAGGACATGAGGTGCTTAAGAGCAGACTGTGAAGTAGGTTCTAAATCCAGCTGGCACAATATTAATAACTAATCCCAGATGCACAATGTAATAGCTAAGTGACCTTGGAAAAAATCCCTAATCTTTCTTTAAACCCCTTTTCATCCATTGAAAGAATAACAGTACCTATACCCCTCATCAGATTGCTATGTATTTTACATTAGATAATTCTTATAAAACAGTTAATTGAAGCCAAGCACATATATACCATTGTGTTAAAATGTAACTCACGTTAAATGATTTTTAGTTTAAAATTTTACTAAGCCATCAAGAATGTATACACACACATGTAAGTCCACAGACACAAAACTAAGTCTTATTTTATCAACAGCTGTTTCAATGGAAATAACTCTAAATTAGAATAATTAGAGAAGGCACATGTCTAACAGGAACTGGGATATTTCCTTACTAGAATCATGTAAGAATGGAATCACAGCAAATAAATTTCTCTAATCCCCTAGAGTGAATCCTTGTACCATCCTCAACTTTCAGCCTTTTACAATGCACAAAGATGAGGCCATTAGGTATCATCTGCAGAACCATGTCCATCCTCTTTTCCAATCTGAAATACAATGGCATTCTTCCAGATTAATCCATCCACCTTTAGTGGTCTATATACCAAATGTTTCTGGGTTTCAAGGTTCAATCCTTAATCCATTTCCTTTTTCATGGGATTGCTGCTTCCTGCCTTCCCTCATCCACTCATTGTTTAAAATTACCATGCTAAAATTTTAAGAATAGTTTGGAAGGAAATAGAAACCATATGTCCTACGATTAAGCACATACATACATTTGCAAAACTGAATTACCTCAGATATACCTGATGAAAAAGTTACCTAGGCGAACATTTTAAATTTAACAATATATTAATTTGTACTAATCATCAAATTCCCAACCAAAACTATCAATGCTCATTTAGTATTCAAATAGATAATATATAATTAAGATCTTACTTATTAACATCTGAACCAAAATCTTCAAGAAATTCCACTTTTCTCTGAGAAAATGTAATTCTCATTTTAACAGGTAATGAACCATGTATAGCTTTGTCAAAACAATTTAGGATATTTTCTTCATTTTGTTTGAGGTCACCACTATATTCCATTTCAAGTAAATTGAGGTATAACTTTGTGTTCTCCTGTGTAAAAAGTAGTATCGTTAATAATATTTCTAAGATATTTTGATTAGACCACAGATATTTAAAATGCCCTAATTTTGATGTCTCAATTTAAAAAATTCAATATTGAAAATTGTGTATTAAAATGTAACTTGTGTTAAATGTTTTCAGCATTCACTGAATAAGAAAAAACCAATTAGCACATTGATAGCACATCATCCTAGTTATTTCCCAAACAATATGTAAATTGTTCAATGCCAATAATTTAAAGCCCTATATTCTATCTTGAGTTTAATGTGGCTTGACTTCCCATAACAAATATAAACTAAAACATGAAAAAAATGATCTCTGTACTTC